CATACACACATATACATACATATACATATGTAGATATATAGATATATAGATATATTTAAGTTAATATCCGACAAACCAAAATAATTAGGCAGATTCTGGCATGTTGCGTACACCTGTAGTAACAACATTTGTGATTTAAAATTTAAATTTTATCTAAAACAGATCTTATTATTGTTAGTTTTAAATAAATAAAAAACAAATTTGAAAGTTACTTACATACGTATGTATTTAATTAAAAAGATTCTCAAGGATTACATAAGCGCAAATGATCATCTGCTAGGCGGTAAAAATTTTAACCTCTTAGGAAAAATATAACGAAAGTGAAGTCTGAAAGAGCAAGCATATATTTTTACAACGCTTTTATCAACTTGTAATGTTGTGTGTCCAGAAACTTTCAATGTTGTGTTCCAGAAACTTTCAATGTTGTGTGTCCGACACCATAAAGCAAAGCTTTGCAAAGCTCCTATAAAAAAGCATAGTGAATAGGGCGAGGTAGATGACATCTAGATGTCGCCCTATGTACTACGTTTGCTACACCGGAAATAGACGACACGCCATTTCTTTAAATAAAATTAATTGGTGCTCGTTTGTATGTACATACATATGTAAATGCATGTGTGTGCACCTTTCTATTAATATCGTTAAATTATTTTAATATCTATTGCAAACTTTTATTCAGACAGGACTAAAAAGTAGAAAATAAATAATATAAAAAAAACTTTTTAATATACAACGCTTTTATAAATGGACTAAAAAGTAGAAAATAATACTTCTCAGTCCCATAGAATTTGTTTTGATAACTTTTGATTTTGAAATTTTAGCAAAAGTCATTATAAACAATCTATGAAATTGAAAATGAAAAGAGTGGGGCGCATGTAATACACCATGGTGTAATAATAACAAGGTGTTGTCAGTAACTTAACCTCACTTTTTCGGCAGGTCTATTCCGGTCACGCATTTTAAAGTACTAGAAAAGGTACTAATTATTTACTACCTTTAATCCGTTGGTGCATACTATTTTAAATTAAATGTAGAAAAATGTATAATTACAGGCTTATAAGCCTGAATATATGTTTGTATCGGCAGCTCCACACAGCTTGGACATATATTGTAACTTTAAAAAAATAAAAGCCGTAAAATAAGGCAATTTCCTATAAGACTGTAAATGATTTTCTAAATAGATTAAAACACATAAATATCGATAATATAAGCGAATTCCTAATTTAACCATGCAGCCACTCTATTCTAGTGTATCAGTAGTTCATTTGGCTCAATATTATGACAATGCAGCAAAAGTTATTTAATATAAAAGAGCGCCTTTCCATACGATTTTTGTGTACGTTTTTTTTCCATTGATAACCACGATATCTTTTATTTTTCTACTTTTTGAGGACAAAAATTATACAAATCCAGCAATTTTAAATATTAATATTGTTCTGAAAACACCAAGTTCTTTAAAAATCGCGATAAAACGAATTACTAAAATGGAGTATTTTAGATACTATTTCCCAACGAATAGTAGTATAAAAATTAAGATCGGCAGCACTGAAAATAAGCATGCCGATCTTGTCAAAATCACAACAAACACGTTGCTACTGACAACACCTTGTTATTATTCCACCATGTAATACACTTGAATTGATATGAAAAGTAATATATGTATGTATGTATGTGGGTATATTAATAACGACCGCTTAAAATCGATTTCAAAGTTCTACTTTCGCTGTAGAAATTTTAGGTCTACGTTATGTAGTTTGACTATTGTAAATTAAATCGAATGCCTTGTATTGCATGCGCTCCACGTTTTTCATTTTCAATTTCATAGATTGTTTATAATGACTTTTGCTAAAATTTCAAAATCAAAAGTTATCAAAACAAATTCTATGGGACTGAGAAGTATTATTTTCTACTTTTTAGTCCATTTATAAAAGCGTTGTATATTAAAAAGTTTTTTTTATATTATTTTTCCATTATGAGTACTATCTGTGAGTGAATGCCAGGAAGAGACACATTCCCCTACCCGAGGCTCCTAATCAAAGAGAAAAGAAAGAATAATCAGAGCATTAACCTGCTGAAATCATTTTGATCCCAAATAAAATTTGGTTGGTCCAACATTTTCACCCCTGACAACTCTGCCAGATTGGCGAAGTAGCGTGACTCCAGGTATTCCAGTCAACTCGGCTGCAGACATTGACACAGAAAGTGGTTAATTGATGTTTCGCCAATTTCATTACAGAATTGATGTTGATATGACCCAATAATGTCAACGCGGTACAATATTTCTATCCCGGGATCCCCGGTCTGGCCTTCCTACTTCTTAAAACTGGCCTCAATTGTAACTAATTTGGAGTGCAAAGACTTGTATAGACTCACGTAGATAGAATGTGGCTCGAAAGAAACAATTGATGCCGTAGCTGCAACTCATTGGAGTAGCTGCCCAGGAATACAGTGGCATTTCTAAGCAAGCCTGTTTTTGCTGGTCTAACAGAACTAATAGCCCGGGCCTTTCCCCAATAGGCATTCAGCTGATTGTAAATTTCGGTTTTCATTTTATTCAGACTATATCTAATGGTTCCTTATTTCAAACGATGAAAACATTTTAAACGATGCTTTATAACTTTGGGCACGAAAACATTTCACGTTTCAATAAGACTATGCACCATCGCACGGAGTTCGCGAAATTCAACGTTTTTTAGAAAAAAACTTGCCAGCTTAATTTCTTTGCAACAATGGCCACAATATTCACCGGTCTTAGACCAAATGGATTTCTCCATATGGTCCATTCCTGACGCCAAAGTATCAACTAAAAAAAAAGAGAAATGCAACGCCTTTAAGATTGCTCATCGCCGCAAAGTATCGCCAGGCCATATTCGTGCAGCGTGTGGATCATTTCCAGACAGATCCGATGATGTTATCCGCGCTAAAGGTGGCCAATCAAAAATAAAAGTCGAGCTCCTCATCCCATAATGGCAAAATTTTTTGTGGAGTTATTTATTTTTATTTAAGTAATATCCGTTCTACCTAAATATATATGAAGCAAATCGGACCATAAGTACGGGGTTCCCAAAATTTCGACACCTGCGCCACTTAGGGGATACTTCATCTTTCATTTTGCATTGTCATAGGGTTTTGAGCTAACCGCCCTATTCCCACGTCATTGACAAAATTCATCGTATGACTATTGTCACAATTACTGCGCCTAATACTATACCACATACTATATACTTTAAGCGCTCTAATGGTGACAATTGTCATTAGCTGGATTGTCATTGGCATGGAAATAGGGCTGAAAATTTGAAGTGTTAAGTCTCTAGCTTATTAGGAAGTTAGGTAAATATTCATTGTAAGATTTGTTTACCCACAGTTGAAAAATATTCTGCCTTATCCTGAGTTTCACTCGAAAAAAATTCGCCCGAAAACTTGTTATCCGCCCATAGTTAATATATGGAAACTAAACGTGAAAATTGAACAGATTTGGGGAAAATGAAATTCATTATAAGGCTGAATAAAGGCTTATAAAAATTAACAAAACTATGGCATTTTTCATTGGTAACATCGTGAGTGCCTACCCCTGTAGTTATTATTGAATGTAAGTATGTGTGTATCCTTCTTATAGACTCCGAAATTAGCAAACCTATTTTGTCAATTTTTTTTTTGATAAATCAAAATAGTGTTCTTGCGAAGTTTGTATTAAATATCTCACCCGATATTTTAAAAAGTGTTAACACTTCCCTAAAAATTTAAATCTAATCAATAAGTTAAGTCATGTCAAATGTTATAGGATGGGTATGAAACGATAGTTATTTGAGAAAGTTTTAGGCAAAACATGTTTTAGAATACGATTGTTTAAAAATATTAAAATGAAATATACATACTTATGTATGTAAGTGATTTGACTCGCTTCTGCTAATTTTTGCGTAAAGAAAACTACTGATATTTATTGATAACTATCTGTGGTGGCCGCTGTGGTGTAGTGGTTAGCAGTGCGCGCTACCACTCCGAAGGGCCAGGGCTCAAGCCCGGTTCAACCCAGCATAAAAAATAAACGAAAATAAAAAAGCTTTTTTTTGTTAATAGCGGTCGCCCCTCGGCAGGCAATGGCAAACCTCCGCGTATATTTTTGCCATGAAAAACAGCTTCTCATAAAAATACAATGGCCGTTCGGAGTCGGCACATACTAACGTATGTGTTAGCGCCAATCTATTATTATTAGCTGTTAAGAAACAAAAGTATTGTTAATTGTTATTTTTATTTAAAACTCAATTCCCACTAACGGATTTTCGCCTCTAACCGATTCACGAAGAATTTCTAATTTTGAGCGTGTGTTCAGATAAGGACAACATTCACAAGCAGATGTCGCCACCAACAGTTGGAGCGGTTCGCGCTGTTGCTAGAAAATTTTAGTAGATCGTAAATTCTATATTTACGTTATCTGATATACGTTCTTTGTTTGGCAGGCAAGCTCTCATCTGGCAACGCTATCAGCTGTTTCATTTTGACAACCGCTTAAACAATTCCAGTTTTGCTGCAAATTCCAAACACATTTATCAAATGGTAGGTTTTTTAAAAGTATATTAAATTTACAAAGCTTTATTCATCAAAAATGTATTCTCTTTCATTCCTCCAACGACATAGCTCTTCTACTCATTCTTCAAATCCCTTGTGGGGAAAGATGTCGTCGTGGAACTTAAAAATGACTTAAGGTATGCCTTTCATTCGTATTTGCTGCCCGGTAGTTCTCTAATCCCTTTTTATTTGTAGCATTTGCGGAACATTACATTCTGTAGACCAGTACTTAAATATTAAATTAACCGATATTAATGTTACGGATCCAGATAAATATCCACATATGTTGTCCGTGAAGAATTGTTTCATCAGAGGCTCCGTTGTTCGGTACGTACAATTACCTGGCGATGAGGTAGACACTCAACTATTACAGGATGCAGCGCGGAAGGAAGCCGTCGTCAGTACGAGATAAAAGTATAAACATTTCCATGCAGTTCATATAGTACATATACACATCAAGTCAATAATTAAAATGTAAGCTTTCGTGTAAAAACGTTATTTTATATTTATTTTGCCAAAAGATCCTGTTTTTACGCCCTGTACATACATATGCATTCCCTGAGCTAGGCTGTTTTTAAGAAAGTTCCTAAACTGTTCTCGGTGTCGTAATACATCTATTCAAAGTTAGAAAGAGTGGCTTCGCACGTTTTTCTAGATAATCTGAATATGTATGTAGTACAGCGGCGAAAATATAAACAGGGAAGAGAGCCATTTGCCTTTCCTATTTTAATGTTTATTATTTTTTTTTTACGAAAGTGTAGCTCATTATCTAACAAAATGTTCATATCATACGTCAACAAAAGCGATACCGATCCGAAAATTGTCGCTAACTGGTTACAGAATCTCCCCCCCATGTATGTCAAAGTTTCAAGCTTTATACAAAAATTAGCAAAATTCATTCAGAAACATTCTGAGTATGCAGTTTTGTAGCTCACTCAATTTTAGGGCAACAAAGCTCTAATTTTAAGTAGCTAGGACTCACCGTTGATTTTTGTAAGGTGTTGCTCATTTTCTCCATTTAAAAAAAAATGTCCAACGTACATACTTTGTATGGAAGAAAATGCGAGAACAAAAAAACAAAGCCCCCGGTAAGAGCTTGAACTTCATTATACTAAAATTTAATGGGCTACAAAACTGCATATTCAAGGATTCTAAAAAATCGTATAAAGTTTCAAATTTTGAGTAACATTTGTTAATTTTTATAAAGATTTACAAATTTTGATTTACATATCCATAAAAGAAAAGACGCAACTAAAATATAAATACAATGAATAATTCAAAAAAACATATGTACATATACATATGTATATATATGTATGTATTTAAAACAGATTCCAAGTTTTATACAGTCTTATGTATTTAGCTGGCTTTATTTGACAGCAGCGAGGTTTTTTTCATTTCGGGATTATTTTTTTTATGTATGTAGATATTGTGCCTACTATTATGTTCGATATCTACTAAAAAATACAATGATTCTGAACTCACAATCAACGTGTTCTTTCATGTCATTAGTAGTTGATACGAACCTTGCAGGAGCAGCTATCTTATTTGGGCTTTAGAAGTAGTGCGATGGCGCTAAAATCGTTGGAGTCTGATGTATATTTTTCATTATACATACCCATCGTTACCTTAATAAAGAAAACCCCTAAATCATTTTCTTTCGAAATTCCGCTTTGTACAAAAGTTGGAAGATTACTCTCGCAAGAAACAAAAATAATTTAAAAAACAACTACTATATCATTAAACTAGTATCAGTGTTTATCAAAAACCAGTGTTAATTATAAATTCGATACTGAAGAACTCCGGTGCTTAAAGAGCTTTATTACTACCTTTCTGCAGTACTCACATGTTTATATCCTCGTTTATCCGATTTCTTGAACTTTATTTTATATTATTATTTTTGTAGTTATAAGAATATAGTTCATTCAGTAACATAAGGGCCATTCCAGCGACCACGACACCTCAGGTAAAAAAAAATAAATTACATAAATTCTTACCACTTTTTTCTCTATTTTATTGTTATAAATGCATATATAAATGCCGTAATATTTTTGCATCAAGTTTTCAAGGCATTCCTCAGGTATTAAAGGCAAAAATAAATGGTGGTAAGTTATTACAAAAGTGCGTTTATTGTGAGAAGTTATATGCCTTCAAGAAATGCTTATTGGATATCCACCCGTCACAGCAAAATATGTATTTTTTTAACATAACATTTAAATTCTAAGGTTTCCCACTAATCAAAAGGGGGCCCATTAAAACGACACACACACAAAAAAAAAAAAAAAAACGCGACATGTAAACTTAATTTTGGATCATAGATTACTAATCTGTAGACCGCTTTTCTAGATCAGGTAATTTTTCCTAGATATTTTCGTTTTAAGATTGCATTACGAGTGAAAAAAATGCTAACTTTAACAGGGAAAAAATTTTAAATTTAATGTCTAGCATTTCCTTTTATAAAATTATATAATGTAAGTACATATGTATCTTATTAAATACGTTTTAGTTTATTTAACTGCTTTACTAAAAAAGTAGCCCTAGCGTGTAAGTAAATTTCACAACAATAAATACATGTGATAAGAGTCGGTGAAGTCCGTTGTTAGTGTAGATACATACTTCCAATATGCATGTATATACCTATATTTATATACATATGTATGTACATAGTATCACAAATAAAATAGCGACATGCATATTTACATATGTACATATGTACATACATTACTTACTTACTTACATATGTATGTACATACATATGCATTTATGTATGCAGACCTGGTCAAATTGAATCATGTGCTAACATAAATCTTTAAAAATACAAAAAAGAAAAACGTGAGTTGTTAAATAAAACGTATGCTTCAAAAAGTGTGTCATAAACTGAGACCATATCGGAATGTCATTATAAGGTCATTGATATTGCACCAACAACAAGTGCTGTTAGAATTACTCTTTGGGTGGCAGCAGCTATAAAATAAAATAAATAACACAAAAAAAGAAAATAAAAACAAAATACATAAAAGGAAATAGCCTAAACATTCGCTTGCGATTGACAACGCGAAGGGTCGCAGCAGTCCATTAGTCGGATGTCATAAATCGCAAGCCGCCATTCCGCCATCAAATCTTCTACATCCCACATTCACGTGCACTCTGTATGCCTTTGCGTTCGTTTTATTTAATTTTAATGCTGTAATATTCATTCATTGTTCTTTTTTTCGATATTCGCAACTGTCGAAGGACTTAACTTTTTAACGTTTGCAGTAAAAGCAGGAAGCCGAGTCACTGAATAAGATGGACGAAGTAAATATGTATTTGGAAAGTTTATACATACTACATATGTATGTCTGTGTATGTATTAGGGATGTTCATTTTCCGATCCCGGGATTTCCGAGATGTCGTTATTACAATCGCGGGATTAGTCCCGGGATTTAGATATTCATTAATTTTCAACAACTTAAATCGAAAAAATTGCTTCTATATTGTTTGAGAAGCTCTCCTACCATAAAATAAATAATAAATAAATGGGTTTGAAACCAAATTTTTTATTTAAAGTGGCGTTTTTATTTTTTCTCTCTCACGTCAGGATTTATTTTAAAGGACTTTGTAATTTCAAAAATATGATTAAATCCAAAAATTATTAAAAAAAATTCAATGCAATATAGAATAAAAATATGGGTACCAAATGCAAGAGGAAGTTTTTTTTAGAATTAAAAAAAAATTAAATTTGTATTTTTTATAATTTTTTAAGCTCATAAAGTTAGATGTACGAAATTGGAGGATCTTATCGACGACGACACTGAAGATGGCACAACGCCGAAACCGGTTTGTCTGCAAACCAAACTTGACAAGGGATGACGGAAATTCGTTCCAAAATAAATGATCTTATCGACCTTATATAAGTCCTTAACATATTTATAATTTTTTCAAAAACAAATATTGCGAAATTTCAAGGACAAAATTTAAAAGGACGTTTTCAATACTTACCAGTTCTTCTGCACCATAAAATTGAATCTATTTAAATTCTTCAGGATTTCCTCTTTAATTTGATACCCACACTTCTTGTCTAAGCACATTTCTCTGAATTTTGAAATCATTTTTAAATTACTGATGTCAGAGTGAAAAACTAAAAACGCAATTTTACTATATTTGGCCCATGGTTGATATTTGGGTTTAGAAATTACTAATGCGCGGTGTTATATGTAACTATAATGAGCTAGACATTTAAAAAAAATATTAATTATTAAATAAAAAAGAAATATAGCCAATACTGGTCAAGAAAGGGAGTTTCTATTATTGCCATCAGTGCAAATTACAAATCCTGAAAATCCCGGGACTATTTGCCAAGAATCCCGGGATTTTTGGGATCTCAAAAAGGCCGGGATTGCAGGATTAACATTCCTATTTTGTATATGTAAATGGAAACATATATGTAAATATTTACATAAATACATATGTATGTATACATATGAACATTCATAAATTCGAATTTACTGGATGAACAATTTCAAAGAAAAGTGGTGAAAAAGGAAAAAGACACCTTGATTACTTTCGATGTTATCCACTTTTAATCACACTACACGCAAATTATGCTTATTATTTTGATTTGGTACAGTGCCTTTAACACAAGTGTTCGATTGTGATGATGTGTCTTTTTGTCTCCTTTTACACCCTTCCCTATTGGAAAAGAAAGTGGAAAAACGAAAATGACATTCCAAAAGTTTCACCGGGCGCACTGCTGAATTCAACAGACATCTTTTACATATATATGGAAACATAATTTAAGTATTTATATAACATAAACTTTTATAACGTTAGGGTGGTTCCATGAGAAACTGAACCTTAGTGGAAAAGTTATAATTTTTTTTTATAAAACTAACAAACGTGTGGATAAGACATTTGAAAAAGTTCTTGAATCAACCGAAAAATAACAAACTAAAACTTTAAATTCATTTGTATTACGTTTTCTACGTTTGGAAATTAAGTTCTAAGTAAATTCAACAGTAAAGCATGTCCCACTAAAGTGGTCCAAAAATGTATGTAAAAAAAATAAGCTCGGATTTTTAATGCCGCCACCCCCTAGGATTGTAATATACCGAAAAAAATATACCCATTTTTTTTATTTTGAAATAAAAAATAATTTAGGTAGTGCTCAAAGCGCTCAAAGTTTTCCATGTATTTTATATGGAGAAAAAACAACTTTTCGTAGAAATAGTGTAGAATTCTTGAAAATCAATATTTTTCGATCGGAAAACTTTATTTATCTTCAGGAGATTCCCAGTAATAATACCGAATTTTTCATGGTAACTATATTTTATAGGTCCTCCAAAGCCCTAAGAAAATGCAATGGGATCATAAAAAAGGTTAAATAAACAATTGGATATTAATATTGGAAGTCTCCTGAAGAGAACCACAGTTTTCCGGTCGAAAAATATTGATTTTCAAGAGTTTTATACCATTTCTACGAAAAATTGTTTTTT